TAATACGAGAAAAACTAAACAGTACAAGAACATTAGTTGGCAATATCAAATCAAAACTAATAATAGTAATTCACAATTCACATCAAAAGCATTTTTCCACGAAAATAAATGAACCATCGTATCCGAAAGATTATCCTTAGTTCAAGTTAAAGTTATAAATTTTGTGAACTTTTTAAGCTCTCTATTAAGAGGGAATACGTTAGAATTGTTCCAAAAGTACCTATAATGAAACTTCTATTTATTGGAACTATTTTCCAAACAGTAAAATAAGAAGGTGTTAAACTTAACGACAGAAAATGTACTTGAATTGAAGCCCGCTTAGTTTGCAAAACGTGCAAAACTCTAGTAGAAAAATTTTCAGCTGCTTCAGCAACAAGGCAAGCAAAGACATTAATGGTGATAAAACTTAAAAAACATCCGAAACAAGAATGCCAAGCTGAGTATTGCATTATGATACCATTGTATTCAAATGAATTGAGAAGTACAGTCACGCCAAGATATATTCCAGATGCATTATATAGGCACACAATAAATGTTAGTAATGATAGTTCATTATCTGCATCAGAAATGATTTTCTTAATCATCTTGTAATTTGTCAACAATCTGTCGTAGTTTTGATCATTGACTGAAATTGAGTTTTCAATATTCTTTATCAAGTTTTTCAAGTCGCAGCAAACTAGAACAAAATATGCAATATAAAAAGTAAATGGTAAAGCAGCCATAATTAATGTACAAGTTATATGAATCGAAACAAGAACAACTCTTAGAATTTTTTCATTAACGTAGTATCCGTAAAGAACGTACTGAAGTCCTAGATTGTAGTGTACAACGGCACCAATAATAAGAGCTGGTAGTAGCATTATTAATATTACAGTTATATACAGAACAAAACACTTCATAAGTTGCGACTCTGGCATGGTTGGTGGTGAATGTAATTTTTCCAGAAAACACGCTATTCTTGTTGAAACAGACTTTAGATTCCTAATGCGCAATAATAAAATCCATCTGAAAACCAGAGTCAAAGTGGTGGTGAAGGAAAAAGCTTTCGCAAATGAAAAGCTTTCTCGAACAAAAAAATACGAAACAATGCAATTAAGGTTATACAAAGTGATAATGATGTTTAATAATACCACAAGTGTTTTACTTTTCCTGTTTGGAGAACTGCATCTGATTTCACACAAAGCAGTAAGTCGAAACAGATCAAAAATTTTGGAATATAGAATGCACCCATTAATTTCCGATTTGTCATTCATGAAGGCGATCATATTTTTGTTTGGCATTATTCGCATGATTTTCGCATGCACGGGATATGTGCAGAATGTTAGCCAAAACGTAAAATTCCAAATAAACTGAGGAATGAGATCGTTTATACTATAATAGCTGTTTTCAAATTCAAAGTAACGAAATAACAAACAGTTTATTCTACTAAGTGCAAAACAAGCCTAAATGACTTGATAATGTATCTCCAACTTATTATCTTCTTAAACATAATCGATCAAAATCACTTAAAAAACATTTAAATTTTGTTTGTTTTCTTTTATGTTTGATGTGGATTGTTTGTTATTTTAGTACAAAGTTCTAACATGCTTGAAAGTGTCTCTGTGTGATTGAAAGGTAAAACACTTTAATCCTCAAAATTGCCTTTTATGCTTTGTGTTGTCACTCAAAGTTGACTTTATACTAAACAAAATTAATTGGTTTTAGATAAAAGACAGATTCAAAAAAAGAAATTAACAACGGTGTTTTTGCAAATTCGTCGATTGAATTTATTTTAAAATTGAATAGATTACAAGTGTCATCGAAGCTCGGAATGCCTTCTCAGAACTTTTAATAAATATGGAACTTAGGGCTATTTTATACATAAATGTATAATTAACAACAAAAATATCATGGATTAACCATGAAATCATGGGCAATTTTGTTTTCTTTATAAATACTCCAGTTTGCTCGATGTAAGAAAAAGAATGCTTGCTTTGTGACTGGCCACGAAATAGTAAACAGTTGACTCAAACGGAGTATGAAATGTAGCTCGATTTGTGTACCACATAAGGGAAATTTTACGAACTTCATTGGGTTATAATGGTTTATCGATTTACCGATAGTGGAAAATCCATTTATGGAAAAAGTATTGAAATACTTTCTCCAGTTAACTGTGTGAAGTTCAAGTGTAACGGCTTTTCAATTTTAATGTTATGACGAGCTTAACTTTAACTTTCAGCTTACAAGTCTTTAAAAACGGATCGTTATCAGAGGAATTGGAGTAATATTTCAGTAATAATATATAGCCTTTAATAGTTGCATTTTACCATTTACTTTCACTAAGGGGTGCAACTAGTAAGAGAAAGTTTCTAAGCATGAAAACCTCTTTTTGAAATTAAGATTATGCCATTATAATTATTAGGCTGTTGCAACAATCCCTGTAACCAACATATATCCTAAATTTCAACTTTCCCTAAATTTTGAAAGTCAGGAGTTCAAATTCGTCAAAAAAAGGCATGATTATTAATAGATAGTACGTTTTTGTGTCTGATTTTTTAACATAAATTATCTGTAATAATTAATTAGCATATTTGTGGTCACTCCTTCGAATCATTAAGAGAAAGCCCTTTTACGTAAAAAACCAATCATTAGATCAAAAGTTAATCAGGTTGTTCAGTTTTTTTTTCTTCTGCTCACTGTGCATCAGTAGTTTGTAATTTTAAAGGTTTTGTAGCTATTTTGTTAGATCAAACGAATGCAAATTTTAAGCTTTTAAAATTTATCAACCACTTTTTCAAAAATGAATTTTAAAACTACAGAAATCTAGTTTAACGGCATTCCTTGATATTGATATTATTATTTTTAATATAATAATTTTTAATGTAATTATGGAATTCTTTTCATTCAAACTGCAAACATATGAAAGCACAACATTATATAAAATTTTCAATGAAAAAATGGTCGAAATTAGCCATTTATTCTCGAAGACTCCTTAAAATAGTATAATCGTGGTGTGGGCGATTTCTCAAAAACAACACAACTAATTTACCGAACTTATTAAAATTTCACGCTCTCTTCCAACCTACTTAATATTTAGTGAAGGGTTTAAATAAAGAATTTTTTGCGGAATCGTTCAAAGCAAAAAGCGAATTTCGATAAATTTCAGGTTTTTAAAATGATTTTGCTCAGAGGGAAAAAAATATCTGTTGCTTTAATTAAAAATTCTTTATTGAGCGAGTACACTCAATTTTAATGGGATTATGCAAAACATTTTGAACTCTTTTAAAAAACATATATATACTAATGTGAAAAGTTTCCAATGGCTCTCTCTCACCCTAAGTTCGATTCCGATTGATTTAAAATTTTAGGAAAAATTTTTTGTTGATATGTTATGTTAATAAACAATATTTTTGAAGAAAAAAAATTAATAAATAAATATTTTTTTGGAAATTTTTAAATCCTTGTACTCTTTTGAAAGGAGCCCTCTCAGATACAGAATAATCATAAAAAATCGTCCCCTGTGTGTAAATCCTTAGAGGCCTATCAACTTAAAGGATATTTTATATGTTTTCCGTAAGTCAGCTATTCATGTCGACTAAAATCGTTCTTACAACATCAAGAAGAAAGAAAAAAACTCTTAGATTAATATTTTGCATCTTTCTCTCTTTATCTCGGTTTAACGTCGCTACAATTCGAGATAAAAAATATAATTCCATCATCATTTTAGGTTATTTATTGTATGGATCAGGTTTCGTTGAGAAAAAGTAAGTGTTGCCATTTTATAACAGTAGTTGATCCCAATTTTGGGTTTACGATTACAAATGTTAAACTCCGTAGCTTTGTAATTTTTAACCCAATTCAGAAGACAAGGGAACTCCTGGATCAAGTATTAGGAGAAGTTTGCCTTCATGGAGGACTTTTTGATGGAACTAACCCTTCATTTGCGTTACATAGAGAGGAAAACCACGAAAACCTCCCACTGTTAACCTGTCGGTAAGGGGACTCTAACCCATGATCCATCTAACATTGAGGATATTTTACTTCAGCACTGTGGTAGGTGCGAGGCGGGAGTGGAACTCGTATCGACCAGCCATCGCTGGGATTCGAACCCGGTTCACCTCATTGGAAGGCCACCACGGCTCAAGTGTTCCCATTTGAAAATTTCAAAATTTGTTCAATGTAACCGTAATTGGGAGACCTCAATTGTTTTAAATAATCAGAAACTCGAGCATATGTCTTCTGCAGAAAATTTTATATCGGTTCAAACAAGCTGATAGGTCACTAAAAATCCATATTCAGGGAATTTTTTCTGATCACCCTATACTTACGTGTGATATTCTCCGATATATAAAAATAAAGCAAATAGATTAATAAATACCATATATTTATATCTCGAATTTGTATTATTTTTCTTTCGCAATCGAAACAAACACTCAGAGTTCACTATAAAAAATCATGTTAATTACGAACATGTTAATCGTTGATCATTGTTAAGTTTTCAATTTATAATGAATAATAGACAATTATTCATTTCTAAAACTTAAATTAGTTTTACCAGAAAAAAATGTTTGATAAATGACATTCTTCTCTTGAATATTTCAGTTCCGAATTTGCCCCCCCCCCCCATAATTTAGAAATTGGAATGATTTTATGCGCTCGACAAAAAAACTGAAAATTAACTTATTTTAAATTAATAAAGTAAATAAACCAATCGAATAGAGTAAATAAATCAATGAATTGAACTCCGAAAAATTCTATTCTGCATAAGATGACACAACCAAAATTTTAAAGCGATAGTAATAATATTTTTTAAAATTTATGTATTTAAAAAAATAGAATATAAACAAATGTCAATTTTTATTTAATCATGGCAATTTTTATTCAGCGGAGTGTTTAGGTCAATTAGTTTCAAACTAATCAGTGTTGCTTAAATTAAAAGCATTCTCAGACACATTTTTATTATTATTTATTGTCCTTCGCCTCTTACCTGTGTCAATAACTGTCTACTTTTCTTTGAACAGGTTTCAGATGTCCGGACGGTTTTTCTACGGAAGTGACGTATGGAACTTTCCGCAATGACGTGGTGCAATCTCACTTCCTCCAAAAACGTCACGGTTGCCTGGCAACTGGCTTTGCTTCTGATCGATTTTAATCTTCTGCAAAGACGATGAAGGCTCTCTATCTTCTAGTAATTTAAAATAAATTTTGCTCTATAAATTTACAAAATGAAGCTATTAAGTGTTATTTATGCAGTTAAAATTATATTCTCAATTCTTTATTTGACTACTGCAAGACAAGTAAAACCAAATGACGACGGCAGAAAATATCTACCTCTGCTAATGCCAGATGTTCAACCTGTTGTGGTGAGTTGTTTAAGCCTAGATTAACGACTTGTAGTTTTGGTTTTTGTTTTTGTTGAGAGATTGTTATCTTTTTCAATTTACGAACTGAATTGTTTTGATCGTTAAAGATTTAATATATGAATTTTTAAGAAATATCTACTGAAATTATTTAATATAAATTGTTTCTAATGTTTTGTGCAGTCTTTTATGAAAACATATGGATTGAATCAATATTTTTTTATAAAAATGCGAACTCATTTCTTCTCACTGTTCTTATTCCAGATTCTATTCTAAGTAGAGATTTAAAAATAAATAAACTAAATAAATAAAAAATTTAAAAAATGAAATTTTTTTTGTATTATTTGTATTAATTTTCATATACATTAATTTTCACATTTGAAACACAATTTTGTATATCATATTTCTTAGAGCTTAATGTATTATTACGATATTTTATACAAAAAAATGCAAAGTGTAACGTTTTTAAGTATGAACTGTAGTCGTTTAAAAATTTCATAGAGAAAAGCAAGAATTATTTAGTAATTTTTTTTCTCTTTTAAATACTTCATGTATTGAATCCTAATAGCTATTCAATTCCATTTGTACTTTGTTGATCGATAATGGATAGTAAATAAATATTTGTTATTAAAGAAATTATTGATTTAATTAAACTTTTCTCAGCGGATTTTTTAAAAAAATTTTTGAGCAAAAAAAACACACACACACACTTTTTTTCCCTGTCATAATAATAAAAAAATATTGCTTTTTTAAAATTTCTATTCAGTTCTCTATATATTTTACTAGCCGCCTTTGGGGACCCACTTGATCACCTTTTAAAATTTTCTTGTACAAAATATAACCTTTAATGGTTACCAAGCCGAACGCGCAGCACAACTGTATTTTAATATTCTAATTCTTCAACTCCACATACAACCATAATAACTTAATTAATTATAAATAATGTGTTAACCAAATTGTTACACTGCTAAGCCTTTGCTCTCGTGGAAGACAGTGACGTAGTTTTGGGGTACAAAACCCCTCCGAAATTAAACATTACTTGATTATGAACTTTTGAACGCTAAGTAGGATGTAGATGTGAAAAAGTTTTAATTATTCATTTTTTGTAATTTAAACGTTCCCCTTCTAATATATATATATATTATTAATTATTAAAATTAATTCCACCTCCATCGTGACATATGATCCATGCAAATCTCATCCACATGCTGTACTACTTACTCACGCATATCTCGAGCTATAACTTGAGTATCGTATAATATATATAGATACTATATTACTTAAAAAGACAAACTCAATAATTGGCATGACACTATTCGGCACCATAGCACCGTTTATGTTTAAAATTTACACAGCTATTTTGAAAAGGATCGAAGATAAGTCTAAAGAATTAATTCGTAACTCAGTTTTTATTTCTATAAAAATACAAAAATAATTCTAAATAAATACTTAATGTATTAACTATTCAACTCTACTAAATATTACTTAAGACATTCTAACGAAATGAATAATAACTACAGTGTTGCAGTATAAAGAAAAACCCAAATTTATGGTGCCACATAAGAGAAATGGATGCATATAATTTTTGTTAATTTTAATTGTTTCATAAATGAACTGACTTGAACATAAATTTTTCCGGGAAAAAAATGGGCTTCCTCCAAATGAAAAACTAAGCAGATAGGTCATTACAGTTTCTTTAAAAATGCAACCCAAATATTTTTTTTAAACTGTACATTTTAAACTTTACAACTCTTACTAAACTCTACATTTTTATTAAACTTTACATCTATACATGCTAAACGCGTAGTATAACAGGAATATATTCATTTAGCTATTATATATTTATTTAGCTATTAATAATATAAATTACTTAATAAAATATATTATTATTTAATTTATTAATCCCAATCTTGGCAGTTAGTTATTCCTAATATTATATAGTTTCTCAATTATGTTATTGCAAATTATTCATTTTATTACATGTGATTCTATTTATAAACAACACTCCTAATTAACCATTTGTTTATTGGATTTTTTTAATTTAAAAACCCAAATTTTTGCTACGTTTCAAGTAATAATCCATATTTAATTAAAATTTTGAATTATCCTTGGGTCGCGGATTTTTCAAGAAAATAATCTTGCATAAATAACTTTCTAAACAAAAAATGTTATTTAAAAAAAATATTCATGTTACTTTAATTAAAGATTCACTTTACATTTATCGGGTTGAGTAACTGTAAAGAATTTTTAAATTGAACTCTTAATAATGATAATAAATAAAGATCAACATATTAACTCATTTCATTAATATTTTTCATATTCTTTAAAACAATGATTAATTTTTAGATTGTAAGTATAAAATAAACTATAATGATAATAAAATTCAACATATGAATACATTTCATTAATATTTTTCATATTCTTTGAAACAATGATTAATTTTTAGATTGTAAAATTAAAATTAACTATAATGATAATAAATAAAGATCAACATATTAATGCATTTCATAAACATTTTTCTTATTCTTTAAAATAATTATTAATTTTTAGATTGTGAGAATGAAATAAACTATATACAAAATAAATATACCAGATATATATTATATACAAAATAAATATGACAGAAGTTAATATTTTTAAATTATTAAATGAAACCAACAATTATTTTTTCTGTTATTTTCATTCACGGAAAATAGTTAAATGAAATATATCAAAGCTAAACATGCTATAATGCACGAATAAATTCAAAGAATATAAGAGAAGTATTTGAAAAATTTACTAAAATTGTAACGGAGAAAATATTTACAGCAACCGGTACCAAAATTGGAAAAAATAATTCTGTTAAAGTTCATGGCAAATTTTTTTCGCTAATACACTTTAATATTTATATTGATATTAGATTGAGACGAGAGAATATTCATTATCAATGACGAAGTGTAAAATGAAGCAATTTGCGCTCTTCCCTGTTTATATCAATAAAAGTTATCTACATGGACTCAAATCGGAATCAGAGATCAGTTATACATTGATAGCAAAGGGATTTAAGATAAATTTCTAACCACTTACTATTTAAGTTAAAGTGAAGCGATAACAACTAGTTGGGATTTTCCTGTGTTCTACTTTTATCCTTATCTTTTTCTTCTAAAAATGCTCAAATGATTAAGTTATGAAAGCAAACACAAAAAAGTAATTTGGGGAATGCGCGTAACATTTGTTTATGCTGTTTGTTTATTTTGATCACGGGCTAAATAATAAAAAAAAATGACGGTTATACAATAAGAGAAACAGCTTTAAAATAAACTAAGAAGGTTTATAATAAAAGTAGGTTTATAATAAAAGAAGGTTTACAATTAAAGAATGTGGTTGAAAGGAAGACTTTTAGAGAATTAAAATTAATTTCAATAGTTAAGTTACTTGAAGCGTTGAAAATTTAGGCCTCCTGCATAAACTTATATTTACACGGGGTTGGGATTTCTTTTGGGAAAAAAAAAAAACCCTGTTTCTTTCAGGAGACTGGAAAAAACTGGGGGAAATGGGGGAAACTAAAAGTGACCAATGCAATATATTAGAAGAATAATCCCAAGAAACTGGAGCGGTTAAACATTGTTTGCTTACTTCATTCGCAAATAAGAAATAACAGTCAACATGTTTCAAGTGCTCAAAAACAGGCGCCCATTTTCAAGATGTTCCAGACGTGAATCAGAAGAAACAAAAGTGTTTATTAACTTTATTTTTCCATTTTCCATTGCTAACTTTACCTTTTATATTTCAAGTAACTTTTGTAAAGTAACACCACTGCAATAATTTAGACATATATTTAAATAAAAGTTTAAATTTATACAAATAAAATTTAATGCAGCATAAGAAAGGTGAAAGTTTTTCTCCTTTACCTTTTTAAAAATATTTGTATTTTGAGTTTTATTCTGAATTCTAAAGCATATATAACTACCATCATAGAAATGTTTTTAAAATTAGATGAATGTTATGCTAATTTTCATAAAAGCAAGAAAATATTTTATTATTATATATAAGAATTTTAGATTAAAAATTTTTTATACATATTATTTGCATAATAATTTTATACGGAAATAATTTTTTTTCTCTCTCTTAGGCTTCTGTGGTATTTCTAGTTTTTGTTTCTTACTTTTATTTTTCCATTTTTCGCTCGCAAATTGATTTTTTTTCTAAATTAATTTTTGTTGCATTACATTCACGTCTGACAAGTCTTAAAAATGGGAGTCTATTTTTAATGCGCTTGAAACATGTCGACTGTCATTTGAATTTTGCATATTTTTTAAGCGTATAAAACTTTCTATCAGGTAATGAGCTTATTCTAGAATAATTATAGATATTCTTTTTAGTTTACTGTATATTCTATTTATAAAAGTATATATATAATTAATATGAATGCATTGCCCTTCCACTTGCGACGTTCTAAAATGTCAGGATGCGACACGTAAACTCCACCAATTTGGTAAAACTGTAGCCTTACAATGGATTCCCGGGCACTGTGATATTGCAGGAAATGAGAGGGCTGATGTTTTGGCAAAGAGATGCACAAGAATTCTCCAGGCTCTTAGTAGCCCAGTCCCCTTTTCAACTTTAAAAAGGATTGGTAGATCAAATGATCAAAAATCAATGGGGATTTCCACCACCTAATTATCAGAAAGGGTAAAAACCAAAGTGTGGAGAGATCTTCGACAGAACACCATTCCAGACTGGCCACGCCACGAAGCTGTGGCTCAGTTTCGACTATATACCGGATATGACTGCAGTTGCCGCTCACCTGTTTCGCTTAGGGCTGGCGATCCCTATTGTTCTCTGTGCGAGAGCCAAGCTGTTTTGGATGGCAGCCACATCCTGTGCTGCAGGGCCCTCCGCGGGTCGTCGTCTACCGGGCGATATTGGTAAGCAAGAGCACTCCTGAGGAAATGACTTTTTACTTTCTTGTTTTGTTCCTGTGTTTTTGCTTTTTAACATGTCAATTCACCTCTGCCATTTGAAATAAATATATTATTAGTAATCGCTAATTTTTTGAACTATTTGTGTCTGTAGGTTTAGTTCTGATCCCTACTATAAACATATTTTTTTAAATATGATTCATTTAACATTTTTATCAACGAATGAAATTTAACTAAGTGAGAGACTTCTTAAGAAAATCTTGTTTTAACAAAACTCATTGTATATCTTCAACTTGAAAAATGGAATATTTTCTTGAAAAGTTAAGTCGAAATCAGCTTGTCAAGAGAATTTTCCTTATTTTATTGTTATTTCGACCTAATTTTAACAGTGTGTCCCTTTGAATTTGTTAAAGTATATATTCTCTAAACTCTATTTACACGAGGACTGAAAAAAGGCTTCTTAAAACAGACTTCAGATGTCACGAACCTGAAAAAAGGGATTTTATTTTATAAACGTCATTGAACAGCCAACCCAAATTTGGAGTTTAAGTCTACCAATATTCAACTCCGTAGCCTTGTAATTTGAAACCCAATTCAAAAGACAAGAGAACTCCTGAATAAGTACCCCCAGAGGTATTGATCTGTTATGGGAACTTGGAGGACTTTGTGACCCCGACGGGTTTAACGTGCACCAGTCATCATTTAATACACGGGAATTCTTTGGTCTGTTGTATTCGAACTCCCGTGGTCACGAACACGAGTTCAACGGCCAACCCGGCTATCTCAGCCTTGAAAAAAGGATTTTATGTAATATTTTATAACCGTCGTTGAACAGCCGACCCAATTCTTGGTTTACGACTACCAATGTTTAACTCCGTATACTTGTAATTTTGATGCAAATCCAGAACACAAGGGATCTCCGGGATCAGTACCCCCAGAGGTATTGATTTGTTTTGGGAACTTGGAGGACTTTGTGACCCCGACTGATTTACGTGCGTCAGTCACCATTTACTACACGGGGAGTCTTTGGCCGGCGGGGATTAAACCCACGGCTTCTTGGACGTGGGCTCAGTGCTCTACCAACTAGGTTATCCCGGCCCCCTGAAAAAAGGATTGGCAAATTTACACCTTGTCTAAAAATGATTGTTAAATTTACATAATCCCCACCTTGCATGGATAGACAAAAAATTACCACGTAACGCAAAGTGTCAATCATAACGCGATGAATTCCAACCTGGCTCGAAGTTGTCTTCGTCCGACCAAAGAATATATAAATGACCTATTACCTATTATATATTCTTTGGTCCGACTATATTGGCCTGAAAGCAGGCAAGGGGTGTTGCTTTGTAGGCAACGGAGTTCCTGTGCATTGTGACACGCACCTCCGGTCGAATTAATAATTGGGTGTTGGGTAGCTGGGACTGTTAATCGAAAACAATGATTAATTAAAATTGGGTAATAAGCCTCGTGTTAAAGGTGGTGTAATGGATGGTGTTTTTCAAACACCTTTCATATTTGCGCAACTCCTTAAAAGCTTTTGCCGAAACCATGGCCAAAACTCATACTTCAATTATATTATTTAAAAATTACATAAGGGTTTTCGAGAACGGTGATTAAGAATCTAGGGTCAGAATTTCAATTTTCAAAATGGAGATGCAAAATGGGTTCGTTTAAATGCCAAAATGTCTAATTGATCACAAATATTATTTAAAAAAGGTTATATTTTATTTTTATTCCTTGCATTTAATATTGACATGTAACTATTATACATATGTTATCCAAAACTCATTATGGTGAGTAATAGGAAACCGAAAGAAAAGAAAAAAAATTGAAATGAAAATAAAATCTGTATTCTTATGAACTAATATTTTAAAGAAAATTATTATAATAATAAATTATCATATTTATTGGAATGTTTTATGTATGAATATTACATTTTTTATACAAATGTATTCAAAAAATATATCATATAATCCAATGATTTTAATTAGTTTCTTAAACTAAAAGATTATTTACCATGGAATCAAGATCTGTTTATACATTTTTATAATAATAATCCTGTTGAGAAATAAGCAGATTACTACTATAGTAATAATTGCTTAAACAAATTTTCAATATTGTGTTATTTGTAATCATTTCTAGAACACGAAGCATAAGCCATTCGCGATTTTTTCGATATTTTATGTTTTACAAATAAACATTATTAACGTAAAAATTATCATTAGTATCGAAATACAGAGTGAGGAGGAAAAAAAAAAGAGAATCGATTAACTCAAAAAGCCGTTTTAATACTGTAAACAAGTACCATAATCAATTCTGAGACATAAAAAGAAGTGAAAATACAGAATCAAATCAATTCAATTGATTTTGTATTTTTTCTTCGATATTGTTTGCATAAGGTACCGAAATGATCGTCTCTTTTTCAACCTTTTTTATTTGTGCTGTTTTTGTTGTTTCCGCATTTAAAACCTTTAAAAGTGGAAAAGATTTAATTTAGTAATTTATCCAAACATTTTAATTGATATTAGAAAAAATTATCATGTTATGTTGTTTATTAATTTTTTAATATTAAAACACGATAATGTTTTTGTTCCTACGCAATTTTTATCCCTTTTCTAACTACCTATTTACTTGTTTAAATAAACTAAAGACTGGTCTGAATATTTCTTTCCCTTTTTTTCCAGAAAGAAACTTATTTATGTACAGCTTTTCGAATGCCACAGACAGACTTTAAATATATTGGTAAGTTATTAATATTAGTCATATTTTTGACTGCTTACAATTGAACGAAAATTAATGATCTACTTTGTACAATATTGTGTGCATTATAGAGTCATCCAAAAGTGATTGGATACCTGGGAGTGTAATCTCTGTATGATCAAAAAAAGGCCTATAATTTAAAAAAAAAGAAGAAAAAAAACGTATTAATAAAAATATTTAATCTATATTAACATACGTAAAGGTAAGCAAAAGTATATGTCAGGTTAAACATTTAATTTTTTAGAAAAATATTCTTACATTTTTCTTAGATGTGAAAGATGACAAAAAAATACTTAAAAATCTCACTTTATTTTTCGTAAAATATTTTGCTTGAAATAAATATTTGGCTGTCCAAAAAGTTAATTTTAGACAAAAAATAACAGTAACAGAGCTAAAGTTTTAGTGTCTTTATTCGCCAAATGGATCCGATCCTGGTTTACCTCATTGGGAGGTGCGAGCATTGTAAACCCTGAGCCGCAGCCATATTGTCATTTTTTTTATCAAAAGAGTAAATTTTATCGTCAATCACAGTTTCGATTCATTTCTGACAATCTAGATCGCTCAAATCTCAACCGGAGCTCTACACTTAATGCCAAAACAAAATAAAATTGTTTCCTAAATAATGCAAGCAAATTTTTAAGTCATTTTATTGCTGATCGGAATTTCAACAACGTTCCATATTCGGATTAGCAAACTAATTTAAAAAATAAAAATTAAATAAAAAATTTAAAAGCTTGCTTTTCTTCCAATTAGGCTAAAAACAAGAAAATAATTTGGTTTTTGTCATGTCAATAACGAAAACAGTAGGGCACACTGCTCACATAATAAACTTCTATCTTCAATCCCCCATGTCCTTCGTAAGTGATGCTCCCTACATTTCAATCAAAAATACAATTATTTTCTTTTTTTTTTATTCAACTTATTTCTCTATTGAACACTAATTTTATTAATGATTTAAAATGCCCATTACTTTTTTCTTATTCTAAAATATCCATTGCCATTAGCATACATTTATTAAATGTGATAATTACATATGTGGTATAAAAAATTATTCTAAGTTGGTCATCTTGTTTCATAGCTCAATCGAAGTTTCTTTATTTTACTTTCTAATCAAACTTCATTTTAGTAAAAAATTTAAATTGTTTTTGGCAGGGCTCGAAAAAACTCAGAAATTTTACCCGTCCCCTGGGACGGCTTGTCCAGCAATGTACCCGTCCTCCTTTGAAACTAACCCGTAGCTTCTAAATAAATAAAAATATAATTTTCTCTTATTTATTACTAACATTTACATAATTGCACAATGAATTACTAGGATTACATTATTCAGTAATAAAAGAATTAACGGGATTTCTAGATTAGAGGGTCATTTTAGAAGTGAGGCGCTAGACTCTTGTAAGAAAACAAAAATTGAAAATGTATCGCGAGCATTAGCGGGAAGTTGGCCGTCCCCGCGGACGTCGGATCCGAGAAATTTGTTGTCCGCGGGGAATTTTTGACTGCCGAGGACGGGTGGTTTTTCGAGCCCTGGTTTTTGGTCAACAAATCAAATAGTTTTAACTTTGAGCTAACATTTTGCATTTTATTTCTCTAGTTGAATTCACTCCAAATGCTTCAATGCACGTGGCGCACCATATCCTTATTTATGGTTGTGAAATTCCTGGTCGTTGGGAACGTGACACGCCTAGACTTGTCTGGGAGTGCGGTGAGATGAGCGGAAGTAAGAATAGTTACATACAAGGACCAACATGCAATACAGGCTCTCAGATAATTTATGCATGGGCTAAAGATGCTCCGCCCTTATCTCTACCCGATGGTGAGTAACCTACATAATTTTAAAGCTTTTTGACTAAGGATATATTTATGTGACATATGCTTTAATAGGCATCACGTAACCATTTTGGTTTAAACTCGAAAAAAGTCTCACTAAAATATTCCGTAAAGCGTGCCAAATAATGTTACATTTCTCTTACACATAAATATTCATTAAGACTACGAATGGTGTACTATTCAGCTATCACGAGAACTCCTCCCGACCGAAAATCTGATGTTGTCCACTGCCATAGAAACGAGAGTAAAATGATGAGGGTGAAATGACTGAGGGAGAAATGAGGAAATAATCTGACCTTTCTATCCTAAACCAACGCGGAAATGTTAACTCCACACCCCTATTCAAAGTGATTTTACAATAGTAATCGCCAACACAAGAATCTAATGTCTGGAGGAATTCTCGTAACAAGCAGACAGTACTCACAAAACTGTCAGTCAAACGAACTCTTATCGGCATAGTCTTTTGCCCCAATGGAATAAAGAAAAATCTCATTTCAAAGAAGGTAGTTTTTGATACTTTTTTGTCGAACCTAAACTAAACTAGTCCCAAATGTTTATCCATTTTAGTTAAATAACTTCAACTTAAGACTTCAAATAATTTAACCCCCAGACCATAGCTCTAAGCGAAAGCCGGCGATAGTACTCTAAACATCTGGTGGGGGTAGTTCTTTAGTTAAACAGAGAGTATGTGGTAGCACTTTACGCTGTGAAATTTAGTAATGATATACAAGTCTCAAAAAATTTAAAGAGGATATTTTTTCACTCACGTGTTAAGATTTTTAACAATAAAAAAATTTTCATAAAATTTAAGGGGAAAAAATACTCTTGCTGAAAATAGCTTGAGAATTCAATTGATTGTAAACATAATAAAACATCTCTTCGTTTAGTAAACGTGATCACCTTCGCTCCATAATCATTCCTCTGCTTATCTGAATATATTATAAGTATCGAAAGTCTAATATTACCTATTAGAAATTTAATATTTATAAATATAATTATAATAAATATAATATTCATAAAAAATAAATTTATTAAAAATTATTATATTTATTTTATTTAAAAAAAGCAATCGAAGAAATATTATTTCATTGTATTTTCTGTGCAGTTTTCTTATACTAATGGTTAATTTTAGAGCATAATACTTAAATATTTCATCCACAAAACAACATATTTCACTTCATTTTCGTAAACAACATATTACAACCACATGTTCATGTGGTTGCAATATGTTGTTTACGAAAGTGAAATGAAAAACATTCTGTCACAGTGATGTGTGACGTTTTTTTCTAATTGTTTTAATTTAATCCCTTTTTAGTTTAATGTTGGTTGTTTGATGTCACAGTGTTGTGTGACAATTTTTTTTATGTCCGGTATTTAATTTTAATTTAATTTTAATTCAATCTTTCATTGTTTATAATATTTGCACTTTTCCTTTTTATTTCTCTTCATTTTTTTTTTCTGTGAAGAGAATTGGAAATGTCCTTTTTTTTACTCTTAAGTTAGCAACACATTTTGTGTTTTTCTCCTTTTCACCTTTTACAATTCAAGGTCGTCTGACCCCACTGTCCTTCAAGGACGAATTCTCTTCCCTCACTTTCTTTTACGTCACCACTTAAATTCTTTTCCCTTCACTTTCAAGTAACCTTCAAATTTTTTTGCACGTAGTGATTCTTCCGGTTGGTTTTTCTAGAATTTTCCAGAATTTTTAGCGTGTTCACGCCTTTTTGTATGTGTGGGAGTACATTTGGCACATGATTGGTGGTGACCTAATCGTGTAGTAATCCCCCCATCCAATCACAGTCGTTTCTCTCTCCTGCTTTTCAACTCGCATTTTCCCGCGCTTAAGTGACGCCATTATTATCATTATCGTTTTTGGTACCACGAAGGACACTGCTCCTGTGGTGACGCTTTGCGTCTGGCAAGCTGGCCCTTTTGGGTCAGCGAGCCCCGTCAACCTTTTTTTTGTGATTTTATATATATGAGTTTATTGCACGACTTGAGCCCCCCTTTTTTTTTGTCAAATGTTTTTTTAAATTTTTAGGCGTAGTGTTTATCAAACAAATTTGGCAAGATTTTTTTTTTTTTTCAAAAAAATGAGTCTTTTGATGATTTTAATATTTTTTTGTTGAGCAAGGTCACACCCGGCTTGAGCTGTGGCTTGGGGTGCCAACGCATCCTCACTCAGGCGATTCAGTTGATCCCTTGTACACTGAAATGAATAAACCAACTGTTTTTTTTTGAACGAGAAATGCACTTGTCTTTTTGTTTTTATTTGATTTCTATATTTTTTTTTGAAAAAAAAAATATAGAAATCAAATAAAATTACTACTACACGATTACTACACGATTAGGTCACCACCAATCATGTGCCAAATGTACTCCCACACATACACAAAGGCGTGAACACGCTAAAAATTCTGGAAAATTCTAGAAAAACCAACCGGAAGAATCACTACGTGCAAAAAAAAAATTTGAAGGTTACTTGAAAGTGAAGGGAAAAGTTAAGTGGTGACGTAAAATAGAATGTGAGGGAAGAGAATTCGTCCTTGAAGGACAGTGGGGTCAGACGACCTTGAATTGTAAAAGGTGAAAAGGAGAAAACACAAAATGTGTTGCTAACTTAAGAGTAAAAAGAGACATTTTCAATTCTCTTCACAGAGAAAAAAAATGAAGAGAAATAAAAAAGGAAAAGTGCAAAATTTATAAACAATGAAAGATTGAATTAAATTTAAATTAAAATTAAATTCCGGACATAAAAAAAATTGTCACACAACACTGTGACATCAAACAACCAACATTAAACTAAAAAGGGATTAAATTAAAACAATTAGAAAAAAACGTCACACATCACTGTGACATCACCCCAACTGACCCAAAAAAATTTTGCGACATCACTGTGACACATACTTTTCTTAGAGTCTAAAGAAAATGAAATTAAGAGAAACTTTTACAAAAATTTTTAAAGTAAATTTTTCTCATTCCAACTTGTTTATGATTCGAACGATGTTTAATTTTGCAGGAGTTGCTTTCAAAGTTGGCAGAAATACTGGAATCAACTTTTTAGTTTTACAAGTTCACTATGCCCACGTTGAAAAATTTATCAGTAAGTATTATTTATATTTTTCACTTACTTATTTGTCTCTTATCAATTATTTGTTTATCAATTTATTGAATTCAGTATTGTATTGAGTTTCAAAGGTTTTTTCTTAATGCGTTGTGGTTACTAAAGAGTTTCTACATAACATATGAAACAAAACCATTGAACTTACTTCATGTGGCTGCAATAATTTGATTTAATATTTGGGAATTTCATAAATTCATTCGTTGATCATTTAATAGAAAGACGTTAATAAAAAACAGAATGAGGCCTGTTAATGAAAAAAGGCAAAATTCCTCTCAAAATTCAAAAATTTTACAACCAGGTAAAAGCTTCTTTGATGAGCTTAAAAGTTGGCAGGTATGTGTTTCAATTCAAGAAAGAAAGAAGGCGTTTTTCACCACACATTATGATTCCTAAAAAATTAATTCGGTTTTTTGGGTGTTTTATCGTAGTTGTATTAATTCATTAAATTAGTTCTTGTTACTTTTATATCGAGTGTCCTTGATAGCGATCAATTTGACAGCGATATTGCTCGCTATCGATAACGATATTAATTGAGAAATATGCCATCTTTTTGTAAATTGTAAATAAAGAAAAGGCTCAGAACTATAATTATTACAACAAACATATGAACTAGAGATTTTCGAAGAACATGTTAATCTATGTTATGAAAACATTTGATCGAAATTGGTTGATTGGTTTCTGAGAATCAATTATTAAAACAAAAGTTGTTTTAGTTTTTTTTTTAGTTTCGTAGAACTATTAGAGCGATTCGTTTTCAATTTTGGAGATTATCCTATATCAGCATATCATACAGAATTGTTTTCGTGAAAATTTAAAGTTTAAAAGCTGCATTAAATTTTAAAGAAAAATTTGAGGTTTTTCCTCTTCTACCATATTTTTCAGACTTATCCTCCACTGGCTAGCAGAGAGTTTTTGTACAACTGGAATACCGATATTTTTTTGAAAATACAAGAATGTACAAAAAATACAAATATACAAGAATGTATTTTTGTGGACGGAGTATATTTTGATCAAAATAGGGAAGAGTAAGTTAAGACCGGGCTGTGGGGTCTGTGGATTAATTCTGTTTTCTAGCTGAAAAACTCTGAATTACTTTTGTCAAGAAAAAATACCTACTATATTGGCGTGTTTTCGTTCATTAACTTCGGAGCATGCGCACATAAGTTTGTTCTACTATGTCAAGTCTCTAATGTTTTTTGTTATTAAGCTAGAGCCTTGTTTAAAAATTTTTTTTTGAGCCGTGGTGGCTCAGGGATAGAGCGCTCACCTTTCAATGAGGTGAACCGGGTTCGAACCCCAGCGATGGCGGGTCGATACGAATTCCGCACCTAGTTCGCACCGACTACAGTGCTGAAGTAAAATATACATAGTTAATCGCGGATAATGGGTTAGAGGCTAATTGTGGAAGTTCTTCGTGGTTTTCTTTTCCGTGTAACGCAAATGCAGGGTTGTTCCATCAAAAAGTCCTCCACGGAGGCAAATTTCTCTCAATACTTGATCCAGGGGTTCTGTTGTCTTCTGGATTGGGATCAAAATTACAAATCTACGGAGTTGAACATTGGTAGTCGTAAATTCAAAATTTGGGTCAGTTGTTTAATGACGGTTATAAAATAAAATATAAAATTATAAAAATTTATGTTTAGTCGTTTTGATTATACGTTTACTAAAAATTCATACCTTAACAAGTATTAAGAATTTAGTTCAATAATAGCCCTATTCTATTACGTTTAGACCCGGTTTCGCTCCCACCCCTTTGATGTTAGTCTACTCTGGGCCCACGAAAGCTAAAGTGCAGCAGAGGAAGAAGATAACTTCATCCAAAGCTGAACAAGGGAATTACGGGTAATAGGACAAAATTTATTGCGGGTTCCTTTCTCAAAGCAAAAAAGCCTTATTTTCATATTTTGCAGAATTTTTGAAGGCCCTTTATACAAAATTGTAGTTTTTATATAGATATAAGGAAATTCTTCGCAATTTTTTTTCTGGAAAACTAATAATCAAACAATATATTTTTTGTAAGAGATTTTGTTCGAGCTCGAAACTGCCGAGGGCCCGACAAAGGGGTCCCTTCCCTTGAGTTCGCCTTTAGTAGCATCACATGTAAATTTCATGCATAGTTTTCTTAAATTGTGATATAAAATAGAAATGTCTGCTACTTTTACACTGAAATTCAAGTTTTTCTAAATTTTCCATAGAGTTGACATGCGTACCCTGTTTTATCTCACTAGAAGGGTAAAACCAGATGATTTGACTTTTTCTAGGAAAAGAATCCACTTAAAAAAGGAAAAAAACTAATTCCTGTAGGATTTAGCCCGAATGATTTAATGTACGCAACCAAACAATGATTTTCTTAATTACATTTTGACAGTTTCTACGTCTAACAGTTCAGCTCCAACAGTCCTTCGAATCTTAGTAACCAGGTCATACCCCACTCTCCCCAATATGTGTTTGCTACTTTTTTCAAAAATACAAATTTAAAAGTTCTATACAATTACTATACTGTAGAAATATGTATTTAATGTTTATTTTTTTATAGTGGGTGGAAAAGACAACTCTGGCATAATTCTTACAATGTTACCAAGTACCACTGATAAGTAAGTTGTAATCATTATCTATTATATTAATTGAAAATGCAAATTTTTTTTAATTTGCTTGTTATTATGTTACTCAAATATTATATTACAAGGGCAGGTAAAATGGTCCATTTATGATTTCGTGAATTTTCTACAACATGTTTTCAATCAACAATGTTCATAAAACGCATATCCACAATGAGAAGTTCCAGTGATAATATTTCAATAAATGTTTGTTTCTTTTTTTGAAAGTTATGTTTTAAAATGTTCATTTTTAAAAGGGGAAAACTGCACACAAGTCGAACCTTATAAATGAGTAAACAAATTACATTTATCGATCGTCCTTAAGAAATGACAGAGGATTCGAATGTAAAAATAAGATATAATGATAAATATAAAAATTGCTTCCGTTCTGCTCAGTAAACCAATTTTCCAAATCACGTTTTAAATTTAGTTGCAAATTTTAACAATTGATGGCGCTGATGAAATGAGAAACTAGTTATTTTGATTAAACATGTTATTAAAAATGTTATATTAAGGATGTTATTTTGCTGTATGTTAGACTCGAGATCATTGCTACTGCTTTCACTGGTGTCAGTTAGCTTTGTCTTCAGACTACGTTTCGTTGTTACAGCAAATGTTTTTCACTTTGAAAAACATTGACATCCGTTGGAAAAATGTGCTACTAATTTTTACACTATGTGAGAGAGAAATAACTGGAACTCAGAAAGCTATATATTTTAATAGTATTCTGTTTTTCAACAATTAATTATAATTTTTCAAACAGACCATCGTTTTTGTAGACACCTGGTATTTAAAAGCCTATATTCAATCAACAGAATCCGAAATAATTCATATAAAAAGTAGGTTTGGTGCTAATTATTATCTTAGTAATCGTTATACAATAAATAATTTCTTTGCAACAGTATGCCAATGCAGGATTCTGAATAAGCGCTACTTATAAGATTTGCAATCCAAGTCATTATTTTTTATAACAACCAAAACATCATCTATATCACCATATCCATCTTTTTAAATATGTAACCCACGTCGCTTCTAATTTTGAATAGGTCAGTATAACATATCTCCTTGACCACTTTCCTAGGTTATATGAACGAAAAATGCGATCAAGCATCATTTAGAATGAAATTGAATGCAGAATTCAATGGCATAAGAGTCGAAACCGACTATACTGCTCTAAAATTGAATGGAATTATTTGTTACACTACGGCGTACTGTTCCGAGTTCACCGTATTACTTTTAAAAATACTCATGTTATTAGACTTATCCAAATTTTCAAAAATCTCACTTATTCTTTAGGTAAGCAATAGCATAATTCATAATACGCATAAGAGATAATGGTTTCAAATTCTTAAACATGCCTTCTTAAATATAGTTTTCGAAATAAAAACACTCATTCATTTATTTTACAGTATAATATTATAAAATTTTAAGTTCAACTATTTTTGTATTAATCTGCATAATCGTCACTTCGGTTCTTGCGTTTTTGTAGACGCTGTGTCAGTCACCCGCTAAATTCCTTTTCTCCTGCAATAGTTTCAACAGAACATGATCACACGCTTAGTCTATAGTCCTGACTTGGCTCTCAGTTACTATCTCATGTTCTGTAAATTGAAAAAATATTTGAGTGAAAGGATATATAAAGCCCACGATGAAGTCAAAATTGTGGTTCACTACTTGAACATGCTGGCATGATATGGGTATAAAAAAGCTTTCACAGCACGTCAGTAAGAATAAATAACCAAAGTGACGAATATATAGAGAAAAATAGTCAAACTTTGAAATGAATAATATTATTAAAAATAAATGGATTACGGCGGTGAAATTACTTTTTTAGATTGGCTTCGTAAGTTCGATTATATTGTAAGAAACTGGCCACTAGACGGCGATGCAAACGTTTCTTTTATGTTGGTTCTTTTCTGAAGAGTAGAGGGTCGTGAAAGAAGATGGTGGTGCTTGAATTTTTGTGTCTCTGCTAAATTATTTTGTGTTCGTTTTGTGCGTCGATAACAATATAAATTAATGAATTTCGAGGTGTTAATTAGTCATATCAAGATCATTAATTATATCAAGAATTCATACGTCATTTTAGTATCTTAATTCATTAAATCGTTAGTTAAGAAATATAATTAATCGAGTAAACTATTAAAAAAAAAAATTCTTCATAGTTTTTTTTTTTTCTTTTTTTTTGTAACTTTTTTTACCTTTTTCAGAGTTACGAAAGCAGCCGGTGTGTACGTACTGGGAACAGGTGGAGAAATAAGAGCAGGCGAAGAAGGTATTATATTCAGCAATTTCGTCTTCCGTAAAATTAATTGAAATTATTTTTTTCTCTTATTAAAATAAATATTAAATCCCGATTTTTTAAGCCTGTATAAAACAATGTTCATTAAATTATACAGCAAAAATGCGGCGCAATAATTAAAATTGTACTGCACAGCGAAATATTTTGTTTAAAAAACAAAAAATTTTACTGCTGTACTTATATGCAGTACTGAGTTTAAGATTTATAATTATTTTCTTATATCATATTAAAGAGCAAAATATGCAAAGTCATTATTATAAAAAAATTTTTAATATGGCTTTATTTTTTTAAAGGGTTTACTTTTTTTATAACAGAAGTGAATTAATTTAATAGTTTTTATGTTTATAAAGTCACAAATATTCTCTACAACAGCTCAGTTCAGTTTCACAAATGCGACGTAAAACTTGTATGAGAGAACTTGTAATTTTCTCACAAAAATTAAGAAAAGTGAAGAAAAGTTTAGTATCTAAAAATAACAGGATATTTATTTCCCCTCATATATACATTTTTAGAGTAAAGTAAAAAAAAAGAATACACCTTAGAGGTAACTAGTTAATATTTATGCGTGAAAAAACAACTGCGTTATTGTAATCTAACGAATCATTACTGAGGAAGGTGTGACTGAAAATATTATAACAGGTTTGATTGCAGCAGAAAGTAGAACTTAGTTTCTTAGATGGCTAACAGAAAAGTGCCCAACTTTTCTACCAGGGAATCATCAATCAATGATATTTTTTCAGACTTTATCACATATATTTTTCATGCAGCATTTCTCATAGTGACTCCAAAGATTTCGAAAATGTTTTTGGTTTTTTCCCGCCTTATTATTAATTTGCGATTTCCAGTGCATACTTTTTAAACTTCTTTTTGACAAAGATTCTATAAGCTATATTTTAAACTCCGCGACTGCAGAACAAGCTGTATGTTTTCCTTGTTTTAAATAAATTCAAACTAGCTAATAAAAGTATATATGCTATAAATAGTTGCAAAATAATTATGCAACGAAGAAACGGCAAATTTTTTCATAAGATTTTTATTTTAGCTACACAAAAGCTTTCTATCTATTTAAATCTTTTCGCATACTTCATGGATAAATTCACCATAGAGGGACAATTAAACATAGGTTTTTTTATGAATATAAATAAATTATTTTACGTAATCGCCTGCGATACTTAGATTATTCAGACAATTATACATATTTTATTTGATAACCGCCGTTGAACCGGAGTTAACAACTATCAATGTTTAACTCCACAACCTTGTATTTTTAAAACGGACAAAGAAAGTCCTAGATCAAGCATTTAAACAAACAAGTTTTCTTAGAGGACTTCTTGATGAAACTAATCCGCATGGAGAAGAAAACCACGAGAAACTCGCTCAGTTAGCTCGACGATACGAACTCATGATCCATGTTCCACTGAGGATATTTTATATCAGCATTGTGGTTGGCGGGAGCCGGGAGTAGGATTCGTTTCGACCAACCAATGCAGGGAATCGAATCTAGGTCATCTCATTTAAAGGCGAGCACTTTATCCTCTGAACCACCATGGCTCAAAGAAACGTAGTTACATTTATTTATTATTAAAAAATAAATATTAACTAATGTCACGCGAGCCTTAATGACTCAGAGAGAGCGTTCGTCTTCCAATGAGGTGAATCGGGTTCGAATCCCAGCGTTGGCCGGTCGATACAAATTCCGCATCTGGCTTACACCGACCACAGTGCTGACGTAAAATATCCTCAGTGGTAGATGATGGATCATGGGTTAGATTCCCCTTGTCGTCAGACTAACCGTGAGAGGTTTTCTGTCCATGTACCGCACATGTGGGTTAGTTCCATCAAAAAGTCCTCCACGAGGACAAATTTCTCTCAATACTTGATCCAGGATTTCACTTGTCTTTTGGATTGTGTTCAAAATTACAAGGCTATGGAATTGAACATTAGTAGTCGTAAACCCAAAAAATTTGGTCGGCTGTATAACGACAGTTGTAAAATAAAATAAAACTGAAGTCACGCGTCACGTGTGTGCAAAAACCTTGACTCTCTTTTATCCTTTCCGCTGACTTTGTGGTCTTATTTGAGATCAGACATCAAGTATTTATTTTCTTATTCTTGCCAGATAAAAAATTTAAATGTTTAAAATAATTTTTTATTTAATTGTATATTTGTAAACTAGAGTAATTTACATACCTTTGTATATTTTCTCCTAACAGAGCACTTCGAAACTGCATGCAAAATTAATGAACCCCTGAAGCTACATCCTTTTGCTTTCCGGACACACACTCATGCATTAGGTAAGTAAAAAAAAATTTATATATTTAAAAAATTCCGAAAAGCTGGACGGATAAAAGTTCAGTTCATATCACATTTCAGTCCATCTGATTAAATTAGTTTTAAAACCTTCACGTTAACTTTAAGAGATAACTATAATACGAATACATATAACACACATATATTGCCACTGGAGAAACAAAGTAATATAGTATACGTCAAGTAATATGTCAAAGCGTCATATAGTATACGTGTATATTGTAGTTAGAACAAGCGTCAGTTAAGATTTCTATTAACATTTTCAATAAAATATAAGATGTTAAGCTCTTACTTTACAAATTCGACACTTCGTCTTTTCTTCTCAAATGCTTCAGATGTAATTCTATATGTTACCGAACTTTCCGTAACGAAAATTTTATTTAACTGTAGGTTAGAATTCTTGATTCTTAATTAAAACAATAAAAACAAAAATATCGTTCAAATGATGAAATCCTCTTTTATTCGCAACTCAAGAAGTATTTTATAGAATCTCTCTGGTCCATGTCTCAAAAATAAACTCACCAACTTAAGGCATAGTAAAATTAAAACGAAAAAAAGAATTCTAAAAAAAATATCAAACAGCAGCGGTCGCTATAGCAACGCACGCTATGACGGCGCATGCGCACTGTTTACTGTTAGACCATACTCCCAGCCTTTGCGTTGACTAGCATTGCCCTGGCCTTCACTTCATTTTTATGTGCATTAATACATCCTTCTGAGACTTCGGATCTTTAAGGAATCCGAATTTAAAACTTCTCTGAGGAGAAATATTTCAGCTGTTACACACCAGCTTAGGCGTCTTACGTTCCTACGTTATTTGTGAGATACGCTATTTCTGAGCATGCACAGTATCGCTAAAGCAAGGGGAATAAGGTTTGCGTTTCCGTTAACGCAACGCAAAACCTCTCTAAAGACTTTACCACGTAACAATTTTACATTTTTTTGGATTGTTAAATATTCGATATTTTTAAATTTACTTTCGAAAAAGAATATTTCTAAAATAGGTCAACAAAAGTTTTGTGTGTAGTTTAACTATAAAAATTTGAGTAAAAAGTATTTAAAAAAAAATAAAACAAAATTTAGGCAGAAAAATTACCATCTTCGCCTGTAAAATTAGGTAAGAGGCTTTGTCCTACAATGAAGTGTTTAATTCCAGGTAAATTCATTATATATTTTGGTTTCTTTATATGAACTTGTCAAAGCTGGTAAATTCACCTGTAAAAATCAGATCATGTGTATTGTTTTAAAATAAATGTTTAATTTCAGGTAAAGTTGTTTCCGGATATAAGATTGACAAAGAAGGTAAATGGCACTTTATCGGGAAACATGATCCACAGGAACCTCAGGTATAATATTCGGATTTTATTTTTCTTATTTCCTTCAACATTAAAGATTTATCGCCATACTAAGAACAATTATATGTTGAAAAATTACTATTTCTGCCATTATGCTATAGTCATCTTTAGCGACCATATAGGTTAACTTTCGTAATTACCTTCGACAGCATATGAAATTTAATGGTAATTAAGCTGAATGCACAACAAAACTGTATTTAAATATTCTAATCCTTCAACCCTTTCTCCTATCCTAACACTTTAATAAGTTTTAAACAAAATATTAACCAATTTGTTTCACCTACAAGCTGTTACCTGCCTCTTTAACAAAGCGGAAGTAATTTTATTTCCCTTTTAACTACTTTCAAGAGATGTTCCCGCTATTGTCGAAGTTCTATGTTTTGTAAGTTTCAGTAATAATGTACTGTCCGGACGCCATTAAATCACACGAACTGTAAGTATGAGTTTGGAACATTTCAGTATATAGTAGACGGCAAAGGAAGTATTAAAATTATTTTTATCCTGAGATAAGATAGACAACTCATCTCAATGCGTCGTTACATGCTGTACTACTTCCTAGCGTACCACTCGAGCCTTAACTTGAGAAAGGGAAGAAAATTGCTTTGATCTATTTTAATTAATTAATTTTTTTCCCTTTTGCATATAGTTTAGAGAACAATTGTAACTTTAAATTATAATTTCACAAGACTTGAAGCTGGGTACCAAATTTTAAAACGATACGTATTTTTGCACTTTAAAAGACTTTTAATGTCACTAAAATACTCAACCTTTAAATTTGATAATTAGATTCAATAGGTTTATTTCGGAGTTAAAATGAAACAAAAATTATTAATTAGTAACGTAGTAAATACATTCATATAATTTTCTATTGATATACACAGAGGATGCAGAATCCTTTTTCTGTTTCTTGAGAATGTAATCTTTTAATGTTAATGTATAGGAAAAACATTATTTCCTATAAGAAATATGATAGAAATGACTTGCAAAAATTAAAGTTTATTTAAATAACACTGGAGAAAAAAAATTCTGCAGCAGGAGAATTTTTAACAAATCTTAGATACTTTAGTATCGCTGATTTCAAATCTGTAATCAGTTTCTTTCTTCAAGCTACAGTTTTTTTAATGACATTTTAAGTCTATTTTTTTTCGAAATGAACAATATTTAAAAACAATAATAACTGTTTTTTCCTGTGCTTTTGAACAGATTATAATTGGTAAGCTCTCTTAGCCGCGTACGACGACATTTCTGGGTATGAGTTCCTATACAATTGTATTCTGATGATGTCCCCTATAATTTAGTCGCAACATTTATGCGACCCCCTGGTATATATAACGATTTTAAACTTATATATTTCGACAAAAAATAGACTCAAAATATTATTTCTAAAAAATCTGTTGCCTTAGCAAAACTAATTTCAAATTCCTACACCCGAATTGGGTAAGATCAGGTATTTGTATAAATGCTGCAAAAAATTTGTTTTCCAGTAAAATTTATAGGAAAAGTATTTTAATAGGTTACATTACAATAACTAATATGAGTACTATGTTTTAAAAATAAGATAAGGAACACTATTTTTTTTAAATAACAGAATTGAAAAATATATCCGTTTTCTTAAAAATTAAATATAGTCTTAAAAGTTTTCATGTTGGCGGATCATAATTTTATTATTTAAAGAAAAGTGAAACAGTTATTTTCATATTAATGGTTGAAAATACTTTAAACATAAGGGGAAAAAATTGACCTTACATTTTATTATAAATGATCGAAATATCAGCATTGCTAACACCATTTGTGCCAAGTATTTTTACATATACTTTCCAGATTTCTGGTGTTTCAAACGAAACAATGGCAATTTTCAGATTCTCTATTGTTTTCAGAATTGTCTCCATAAATTTTTCTCTTTAACATCATCTCATAATACAGGTCAGAAATAATCAGGTTAAGGGAACAAGGTGCTCGAAAACGTCTTAAAATGACAAAGAATTACCGAATTACCAAAACAAAAAAAAATGGTGTTTCAATGCATGGACATGCATTGCTATTATTTACTAATGCTACAAATTGCTAGACAAATTCTTGTTTTACTAAGCCATGATCAGTTGACTCTAAAAACAGAGGATTTAACAATTTTCGCATGTTCACAAAAAAAAAAGTTTTAAAAACTAATTTCGTTTACAATGAATTTGGCTTTATCAATCATATCTAATAAATAATTTGTATACTTTTCTTTGTTACGAATTTTTAAATTATATGTTGTGTAATGACTCAATAAAAGTTTGACTAACTTTCTTTTCCATTATTTACAGATGTTTTATCCAGTAGAAGATAAAAGTTTAACTATTGAATATGGTGATGTCGTTGTAAGTACATAATTATTTTAAGTTTTACATCAAATGTGGTTTATTTAAAACATAATATTCCTAAATTTATAGATTCATAAAGTGTCCTGAATAATTTTTCATCTTATACAAGGTGGTTCAAAATTCACTCAATTTTGACAGCAAATACAGATTTTTAGAAAAAAGTTGCGAATTTTCATTGGTTGGGAAAGTATTAAGTATAGAGTTATGTAGTATGTCATTGCATATTGGGTAGATGGCTTTCATTGTTTTGCTTGCAAATACGAATTCTTTCGCCAGAATTTTCCATTATCTTTATAAATGTGGCTGAATTATGTTATACAACCCCAATTTTTTTCCCAATACTTCTGCGCTTTTCCCAATATTTTTGACAAAAATAAGTGAAACAAATTATTTTTGTTCACAATAGTAGAATTCGTTTGTTCTAAAATAATATCGATAATAATAATAAAATGAATCATTTTTTTTAATTATAACTTATAATTTTTTTGGAAAATATCTAAAACTGTGTCATTTGAAATGTAAAATTAAAACTTTATTCCAAGAAATGGGAATTTAAAAAAAATCTATTAATTTTATAAAAAAAACAATATTTCAAATTTCTATTTGTCATATAAACAATTTAAGAAAGTTCTTTTAAATTTCGGTATGTAAAATTGCGTTGATTTCAATCATTATTAACCCAAGCAACAATTTTACCTAGGTCCCAGTTTCACTCAATAAGGGTCTTATATGAAGATGTACCAAGGGACCAATATTAGGATGCCTAGATTTTTTTAATATAGGGCAAATATCGACCTATATTTACTGAATAATGAATATAAAATATCGGGTGAATTTGAGAATTTTATACAGGGCTGATATTGGTTGTAAAACGGCTGTAAAATATCGGGTGAATCGGATAATTCTGTATAGGGCAAATATCAAAAAATAACGACTCTTTGAGTCAAAATTCGTGAATATTGATCCAATGAGGGCCCCAAGTTATTTTGCTGCTAGGGAAATAATAAATCAAATAACTGAACCCAAACTCAGGAGGTTACCTTATTATTGTTATCAAGAGTTGTAGGGGCGGGGATATCATTGGTCGGTGTTTCCAGATTATCAAATAGTTATTTCTATTTTTTTTTTTTTTCAAAAAAGATAGGGTATAATTTGTGCTTTTTTATTTATTTTTTTTTTGTTACATGTTTTCTCTAAAAGTCTATTTAATGTTCCAATGCTTATCCCATTTTCATTTTTTCCGCTTACAGCACTACCTGTTTAACTAAAGTGCAAAAACTTATTAGTACACATGGGGTACTTTCTTTTCTGGAAAATACAAATCTGCAATAAAGAATGGGGGGTTTCCTGTTTATAGTTTTTAAGTTGCTCTACTCTAGCGGTTGAAGTAGGGCTCGAGTTTGATATCATTGAATGCAGCTTTTAAAAATATTTCCCATCTGTATTTTTGATACCGTACACAGTTATCGAAATGTTTTACTATCACTATACTTTTCGGAAACACAAAAACTAAAAACCACCAAAACTTTGACTGTTATCATAAGTACATTACTGTGATGCAATTTCCTCCATATTTTGAGTTTAAAAAATTAAATTTCATTCGAAGGTGATATACTTATCAGAAGACAGGCTATCATTACAGCATATGAGTCGCTCAGAAGCCAATGCGGTTAAGTCCAAAACACAGAAATTGAGAAAATTAATGTTTTCTGATACATTAGTTTTTAAAATTCTTGGTTTAATAATTTAATTAGAAAAGTGTATAAAGTCTTTTTTCGAGGTGTAAACTCTGCAAAAAAACAAGATATGTACAGGATGTCTAAATAAAAACGTAAGTATTTATTGAAATAATGACAGCATCTTGAAAATTTTAGGACTTATACCTTTTGGCAGCTGAAAAAGATAAGAAATTTACGTAAAAAAATACATATAAAAAGTGGACTTATTCACAATGGCTTCTGAAATTATTGTACAATATATTCAGAAGCTATTAAAAAAAGGGCTGTCTAACCTAGAAAAAAGTAACCAACGAGTTAATCCTTTAATAACTTAGAAGATTATTATTTATTTCATCAAAATTTCCAAAAATCAGAAAATATCAAAAAATGGACTTAACCGCATTGGCTTCTGAGCGGCTCATATCATAAAGTTAAATCATCGCCCAATCTCTCTCTCTCTCTCTCATTTTTTTTAAAAAGAGATACAGAAATATTTACCGTTAGAAATTTTTCTTGATAATTTAGGTGAGGCTTAGATTCGGTTACGGTTGTAGTTGAATTTCTTACAAATAAAAAAAATATTCCTTGCATGTCGTTAAAATTGAATTTCATAAATTTTAACAGTATTTTCTGAAAAAGTCAATTTCAGTAATTTTAAAACATGACTATCGGTAATTGCTCAGAACTTCAATTATGAAATTTTATTTATTATTTTTCCGACATCGACTATAATTTAAATAATTAAAAGTATACAGCTGTTGGAAGTATATAAACAAGCATATAAATACCAGAGATGCCATCTGCTCTGGATTCGACAAAATATTGTAAAAAAAAGGTAGAGAACTACACATTAAAACTTGCAGATTTTCGGCTTATTTTGCCAACTTTTTAAAGGGCTCAACACGGCTTAGCTACAACAAAGTAGCGTAGTACATAAGCCTTTGTTGTAGTTATAGTTAATTTACGTCGCACTAGAGCTGCACGAGGGGCGACGGTCTGCGAAACATTCCTGAGGTTGATCCGAAGACATGCCATCACAATTTTGATCCTCTGCAGAGGGGATGGCACCCCCGCTTCGGTAGCCCGACGACCTGCACGCGAAGTCAAGCACTTTACGGAAGAACAGTTTTACGAGAACCAATACCGCACACCCTCGGTCCCTACGCAGACTGATCCAAGTGTTCAACCACCCGCACACTGACCGTAGCCAGTGATGCTTGATTTCGGTGATCTGCTGGGAACCGTGTATTAACGATCAGTCCACTGCGGGACTACATAAACCTTTGAATTATTTAGTAGTAGTGTTGAGTAAAAACTCTATCCATAAATTTCCTAAACCAAGACTCTTACATTAAAATACTACTTAAAAATATTTATCCGGTGTCCGGAGCAAGTTGGCATATCTGAAATACAATTAATAATATCTTGAACAGACTGTATTTAGAGAGACCGAAAAGTAATGTCGTTTCGGCGCATTGAATACCCGTTAGTCTTAGAAACCAATTTTTTTTTTATCCATTTCGATTCGGCATTAAGAGCTTGTTGCAAATGGGGGTGAATACATTATTGATTAAAAATAAAATTTAGATTACAAATATCAAATGCACCGAAGCGACATTACTTTCCGGTTCCTCTAATATTTCCGATTACTATGTATTTATGCAAACACATCAATACAACTTCTTTTTGAATATATATATTACCGCCTCCCCGGGAAAAACATATTTAATTTTTGCATGACAGTAAAAATGAAGAATAGCTTCACTGATATAAGATAAAGATCTATTTTTGTAAACATGTATTAACTTTTTTTTTTTTAATATTTAGGCTGCCCGATGTACTATGTATAATTTTAGGGACAGAGACACTTATATTGGGTAAGTTTCCTCATTGTCAATACTTACATCAATTTGAGCTTCAAATAAAAATTTCTTTATCCTAACACAGTAAGCATAACTTTATTATTACCACCAGACAGTTTAATGAAAACGTGCCATTGCGTCAACATGTAATTGCTAGAGTGTTAAAGTAGATGTATTAAGAAGGTGAGCAGGACTATCGGGAAGGGATCAAGAGAAGAAGTATTTTCCCTATTCTGAAATTTCATGCATTTTAAGTGACCAAGTACATCTTGAATTAGTGTCCAGCTAAGATTCAGTTGCTTTATGGGAGCTACCAGGTTCAAAACCTTTTTTTTTTTTCCCAACTTACTTTCACAGTATTTTAATTAGATATAATATTGCTAGTCTTGAGCTTGAGTCACTAGGAGTTTTCATACATCAGCTTTGAACCAGGTTAAAATTGAAGATATATGTCTACATGCCATTTATTTTGATGCTCCACAACTATAATCATCTTTAAAATGAAATTTAGTCTCAGTCGGCCTTAGATTAATCTTTTGCTTACGGCGCTTAGCAGGATGAAGCCATTCTATAGTTTGCCTAAAATAAGAACTTCCCCAGACATTCGTCTAGACCTGTGGCGGTGACTATGGTAACGAGGTATGACTATTTCAAGTAGGGTGCGGGGTCACCAGTTTGGAGTGGCTTCGGCTAAGGTCGGCGAGAGAAAAGGAATTTCTACGGTCTATTGTGTTAGTCCTAGAGTGAATCTACCCTCTCTAAAATGCGCCATTCTTGTTTCCATAGCACCAGACGACCTAAGACTTTGTGACATGAGGAGTGCTTAGCTTAGACAAACTATAGTCCACTTATTGTACCAGCCGTAAGTAAAGGGTTAATATTGATCCAATTTTTTGGTGACCCAAATAAAAAAAAGAGGAAGTGCTGCTTAGTTAGAAAAGTTAAAAAGTAATTGTATTATGCATGTATAATTATTTTAATTCGAATAATTATTTCAGATCCACTGGGGAAGATGAGATGTGCAATTTTTACATGATGTACTATGTTGATGGAGATAAACCTATGGAAGAGAAATACTGCTTCACAAGTGGACCACCAGTTTATTATTGGAGTCGAGATTTTAAGGTTGGCTCTGTACCGAAAAATATTGATTTGAGTGCGAGCACCATTTAAAATTTTAGTCATATTTTCCTGAAACGTGTACTTGAGAGTTTTTATCTTATAGAATTGATGTTTTAAGATATATTATTCAAATACGTACTAATTTTATTTATTTTAAGCATAAACATTTTTGAAAAAAACTTTTCTTGAATATATTTTTAACACAAATTCAGTGCCAAAACAGATTTTAAAAGAGAAATTGACCCTAAGTTAAAAAAAAACAAAAACAGTTTGAGTAACAGAAATAGCACAATGTGATATAAGTATACATACATCTTAAATTCTAAATTGTCATCTACAGTTTCAGATGCATAATTTTATAATTAATTTGCAATAAATTAGCTTTACTATTACAGTGTCAATGAATCTATAAATAAGTTGATGGTCCACATAAATGTTATGTTGTGCAATGAGTTGAAAGGAAAATGTATTTTTACTTTGTACAGTAAAATGGCTTGAAAAGAATGAATATATTTTTGAAAACGACAGCAAAAGATTTTTATAGGGCAAGAGCGGCCCTATGCACAGATATAAATGATACACTTATGAAAATCCTTTATATAAAATTACGTTTTATTTTATATATCATAAGACAAATTCATTTCACAAGTTTACTTATTGTAACAAAGTTAAAACAAAAATATAATTTTTAATATGTGTGAAATTATCTGTTTAATGATTAAAATCGTACTACTGTATTAATGAAACTATTTTACTTAATTTTAATGATAGTTTATATTGAAATAATAGATATTATTATATAAATACATAGCTGCCAACTGTATAGTTTCTAAAATATTTTCGGCAGGGGAAATTTAAATATAAATGTTATAACATATAAAAGTTTTTATTTCATTTTTGAATACAGAATTTGAATAGAAATATATATTGAATTGATTTTAGATAGTTATAAAAGTCTTTAATTATAAAAATAGAGAATTCTGAATAAATAAGCTAAACAATTTTGGAATATTTAAAAAAGAAAAGTTTTAAACTGATTACTATAAATAAAGCTTATTTCATTGTTTAGTTGTAATACTTCTCTAAATATTTAAAAAAAATTATTAAACTGAATAAAAAATCTATTTCACTAAGGAATTTTTTTTCAAAAAACTTCCCAAATGTAAAGATTTTTATTATAAAATAAATACAAAAATTAGAATTTTTTTTAATGGAGATAAGAGACAAGGATGATAGTTATGATAATATATAACTTGCAAAGAAATTCAGTGTAAAAACATCAGTTGCAAGCACCAAGTTGCTATTGACATAAAGACTGAAGTTATTGTACTTTATACTTGGCAACTCTTTACATGTTTCCATAGATATATATCGAAAATCTATTTATCTCAATTTTGGCGTAAAATTACAACCTTAATTTAAGGTAAACTAAATATTTTTACTTCAGAATTCAGCTTATGCTGTATTTATTAATAGTAGGCAGCTATCTTATTTTTGGTCAAAAATTATTTGTCTGCATCTGAATCAGGATAGGAAAATGCAATTTATGTATTTATCTATTCGTAGAAATATTGTACTTGTGTAAATAGAATTCCTTTAAAATGTTATTTTGTCTGTCCAAAATTGTTGTATCCAAAGAATATTGTTATTTATATAAAATATTTATCAAATAAATTATATGCACAACAGAAATCTTGTATTTTCAATGCAAACACAAAATATGAGAGACATGTCATCAGCTAAATACTAATGCGTGGCATTCTAAGAGTGCACATAAACACAATCACTAGTTTAATTAACGTCAATTAAAGACAATTGATGAATAGAGGAGGTAGGCTTACAATATAGATTTAAGCTTATTTCTTCTATAAATATTTGAGTTATTAAAATATAGTTGCTAAGACATGGAAGATATTAATTTTTAAGGCAAACAGTTAAATAATATTATTTTACTCATTTACGAAATCTTATTAAATAATAATACATATAAACTGAACCTCAATATATTAAAAAAAAATTAAGTCTTCGCAAAGGGAAAAAAAACTAAAATAAAGGAATGTGAAATGAATATTTGATCAAGAACAAAATATTTGAGTTATGTAGTTGAACTTTTATTTTTTTATTTATTTTTCAATGACTAACAATATCATTAGGGATTTCAAAATTATCTTAGGCATGTAAATAATTTACATTTTAAGCATGCCTAATTTTGAAAAGCTACATATAGTAATTATTTTCTTTTACAAAACACATCTGCTATTTTGGTGTAAATAAAATATAATATACATTTTATTAACTATCATACCTGGGGTATTTTTACAGAAACTATTTTAAGAAATAGTTAAAAATAGTTCCTGCTTAAAATATATATATATATATATATGCATTGATTTTGTTCAAATTTAATAATTATATTTCTTAACCCTTAAATGCAAATTGCCACGCATTGAACTAAACTCTTGAACTAATGCAAGGCAGATAATGCAAGTTCTTCAGCTAAGCTCCCCCCACCAAAAAAAAACTTATATAAATTACTATCATGTAAACAAGCTGTGTTTCAGCCTTCAAAGCAAGACGAAACTTAGATGATAAAACTCTTTCGGATTTTTAACGCGGGAGAGCACGCATCCTTTGAACGAACATTAAGACGTGGGAGTAATGGAATGATCCTAAATGAAATTCAATAATCCACTGCTAAAAAAAGTTGTAATTTTTATCAGAAATATTAAACTTAGACATTTAATATTTATTACTTCATCTATTTAAAGCTTTTTACCATTCTTTCTGCAATGAAATTTAATAAACATATTTATCTGATAATTAGCATATAAATTATTATATTATACTCTTATTGATAGTTTCAATGCAGACATGAATGCGTATTGTAATTGTTTTCTCAGAGACAATTGTTACACACAGAAATGTTATGTTCCTTGAGGAAAAAAATGGGCACAAACCAGTTCCAGTTGTTCTCGAACATAACTTCCTTTCGAGGAAGTTTTAAATTTCTATTTTGGTGATACTGGAGAAAAAAATTTTAACATATAAACTTGTAATCATGATTCAAACACGGATTTACAGTATGTTTGGTTCGTTACTTATTAGGGATTATTGCTAGCAAAGTTTTTGATTTTCATACGCAGTTAGTGTATTTATGTTTATTTTAGCAAAGCAGTTTCTGGAGTTAGGGAAATACTTTTAATTATTCTTAAAAGAGAGATAATGATGGAAAACATAGATGTTAATAGTAAAGAGATGAACGAGTCTCTAATTATTTAGCAAGCAGAACTTATAGAATGCATGGTGTAATAAAATGAACCCGCGTATCCTCCTAGGTTAACAGAAAAAGATGCTAAAATTATTATATTTTTCACAAAAAGAATTCTTACATCAAAAAGGTTACATACAATTATTTCACTTTTCTTCATTGTTAGATATTAAATTGCAATCTAGAAACTTGTTGATCTTAAGACTATAATACTCAATTAATGAAGTTTCAAAAAAATAATCTATATACTTTTAAGCAGGGTTGGGTTATTGACGTCAAAAAGTGGTTTTTGACATGACAAGGGTATAATACTGGTTTAAACCGTCAAAAATGTCAAAAACTGAAGTTTGCCAAGAAAATATATAAACTTCAAAACTACCAACAGTTGCCATGCATTATATTGAAATTTAATTATACTATAGGTAATCAGCAGGTTTTAAAATATTTTTTAATTAAAATTAAGGTAAAATAACAGATTTAAAATCTCAGAAATTTATATTCAAATGCATGTGCA